TCTGCTCCTATGATGCTGCTTGGCCTGCTGTGTTCATCCAGCCCTGCACCTTGTTGTCTCGGATTCTCCAGCATCTGCAGTTCCTACTATCTCTGAAGAATATTTTAAATTAACTTGCTGTTCTAAAGGAGAAAACAGGACCATCGAGTTGTGCACTGCAAGCTCCCAGGATAATAAATGAGAGAAATGACCGGATGGTTGGTTTTCAGTGCTTTTTGATTGAAGGGAAAGCGTTGGCGTGGACATTGGAAGGAGTGACCTGGGGTGCTTAACATCCGCTTTCACAGATGGACTGGATTTTGGTTGAAAACCTCAACTGGAAGAAAGCACCTCTGGCTGTACAGTGCTCCAACAGCAGTAAACTCCAGTTTCTGAAGTGGAACTCAATCCTCTAAACTTCTGCTTGAATCAGGCCATTCAGATATAATGCATAAAATTCATGGATATTGCAAGAATTAATCAGATACTGAGGTCACAACTTTCTTGACCAAGGAAACCTAAAGTTTCCGGGTGACCTGTCCAAAGCCAGCAAATTCTACACAAATTTCAAACAATTTTTCACAGAAGTACATTGATGGTACAATGAGCTTCATGTAATATTTCTTAAATTGTTTGCCAAGGCTGAAGTTGTGTCTTCCATATTCATTCATGCGATAAGGCTGTTGCTTGCAAAGCCACCATTAATTGTCCTTGAGAAGGTGGTGGTGAGGCACTTCCTTGAATACAACTAAATTATAGGCTTGCTCGGCCACTTCAGACGTCAAGTAAGAGCCAATCACTAGAGTCGTTTGCAGATTAGATCAGATAAGGACAGCAGATTTCATCGCTAAAATGGTATTAGTGAACCAGTTAGGTTTTTATGAAAATTTAACAATTTTCTGATTTATTTAATTAATTTACTATAAATTTCGTGGTTCTTATGATGGAATTGTTATTAAGGAGCATTTCATTACAAAAGAAAATACAGCAGATTCTTGAAATTTGAACTAAAAACTAAATGTGCTGAAAGCACATGATGAGACGTAACTTGATAAAGGTGTATTTAAAGTAAGTGGAGGTAGATAAAGGGGAGACGTCAGTTCTTTACTCAGAGAGTGGTAGGGGCGTGGAATGCATTGCTGGAGTCGGCCTCAAAAGGGGCATTTAAGGGGCTTTTAGATAGGCATATGAATGATAGTATAAGGTAGGGGTGGAGGTTAGATAGACCTTAGGTTTAGGGTAAAAGTTCAACACAACATTGTGGGCCGAAGGGCCTGTACTGTACTGTCCTGTACTGTTCTATGTTCTATGTTCTAAAGCGCTCAGCAGGTCAGGCAGCATCTGTGAGGAGAGAAACAGTAAACACTTAGGGTGTTATGTCCTTATGTCCTTCATTATAACTGAGGGGCCTTGAAACATTAATTCTCTTCCTCTCTCCACAGATACTACCTCGTCTGCTCAATATTTCCAGCATTTTATGATTCTATCTCCAAGCCTTTACTTCTGTAACCATGCTGCATGATTATGACGCAACTAGTCCAGTATTGTAATCACAAGCTACCATACCCAATGCTTAGTTGTTATTGCCAGTCTCCATCATTCACTTATGTTTGATTTAATGTTTCCACAGATGGGTTGATTCAAAAGTTTATTAGCTTGCAAGAGGAGAGTAAAGAGTCAAGGAAGAGAATTATAAAAATTGAAAATGACATTGAGTGCATTAGATTAGGACTGGCCAAACTGCAAATGGAATGGGAATACAGACAGCACCATTTGTTGACAGAATGGAGTGACACCAAAGAACAGGTAATCAAATTATTTCTTCATTTCCTGCTTTAAAACCTGATATTCCTATTGTTTAAACTTACATTCAATGCCTCCATGATATTGCCATCTTCACACACTTAAACATCCAAGAACAATATGTAACAATTTAAAGTTATAACCAACAATGATTTATAAAACACAGACATAGTAGATTCTGTCAGACGCATATAAATGTGTTACAGTGAGTTTCTATCATATTCTAAACTCACAAACTAGCAATGCTTCCCTTCTACCCTCATACACATCCACACATAGGCACACACATACCTCACCTCTTCTTCTCCCAACACACACGCACACACATCCACACTTACATCCACATTTATTCACACAAATATCCACTCAGACAAGCACATGGGAACATTCATACACACACAAGCCTCAAGCACTCATACAGATTCACCCACACACATCACAGACAAATCTCAAATGTGTAAAATGGTGTTTGTGGGTAAAAGGATGTTGCAACATGATGGTCAGCATGGGTTGGTTGGACCGAAGGGTCTGTTTCCATGCTGTATGACTCCATGACTCTATAACCAATCCTCTTTCCAATGACTGGGTCTAAGGTATTAATAATGTACAGTGGTAGACAATTAGCAACTATTGTGTCTTAACAAGAAGAGGATCTTGTCTGAATAAGACCTAGTTTATTATGCAACAATAGCTGGTTCATTAGGCATTGGGATGAATGTTACCAGAATTGGCTAATTGTCAGTTTTGGCAAGTTTCACGGTGGGGTTCTTTCTGAGAGCCTTTGCATGTTTTCTCATGCAATTTTCCAGTCTTTCTTTATTATCTGTGCACCACACTGCAATAGTGTCCCACAATGGTATTCTTCCACCACAGACTTAAGTATTAGCCACTGTTGGGACTTCCTAGGATTCGTGGTATCTGTACACCCACAGATGCCCAGCACAGTTCCTGTCAATTGCCATAGGCACATCAAGCAGAAGGAATTTGGCAACTGGATCATGCCTTGAGATACTGGTGAACTGATGAAGGTCTGGAGGCAAGCGATAAGCTGGAATCACTAGGTTACTGCTCTGACTTTCACATTGGATTTTGTTACCGTCTAGTTTCTACCCATCATATTACAAAATACTGAATGGCCTGGACAGAGTGGATGTTGCGAAGATGTTTCCATTAGCAGGAGAGACTAGGACCTCAGGGCACAGCCTTACAGTAAAGAGAAGACCCATTAGAACAGAGATAAGGAGAAACTGCTTCAGCCAGAGAGTGGTGAATCTATGGAATTCATTGCCACAGAAGGCTATAGAGGCCAGGTCATTGAGTATATTTAAGACAGAGATAGGTAGGTTCTTGATTGTCAAGGGGATCAAGGGTTACGGGGAGAAAGCAGGAGAATGGGTTTGAGAAACATCAGCCATGACTGAATGTGGAGTTAACTTGATGGGCTGAATGGCCTAATTTCTGCTCCTATGTCTTATGGTCTTATGATCCTTTCACATGGAAGTATGGAAAGCTGCATATCAATGAGGCAGGACAATGTCATAATCAGGATGATAATGTATGCTAATGCATTTAAATAGATCCCCCTTCACTCACCAATAAGAATCTCCTCTTGCCGTTCAACACTTGGTTGGAGAATGGAATTTTTCACTTTTGACATTGAGAAGCTCCTCTTTGGCCATCTTACACAGTTCTCCCGATTTTTCTGATTTTGCCCACTTAATTCTGAGGCTCAGGAAGGTTTTGCCATTGTTAGTAAGACTTTGAGGAGAGCTGTGGATATAGGTCTGTGCAATCCTACAAGCTTCTGTCTCATCCCCACCCAGGCCAATGCAATCTTGTCAGAGTGGGTGGAACGTACTGCAGTCTCCAATTTTAATTGTTTTGGAGCCATTGCCTTGTAGAAGATATAATATAATGAATAGAATCAGAGATTGGGAGGGAAATGTAGTATAAGGGGTTAAGTCTGACTGATCAGGTAATACATTGTAACATTTCTTGTGATAATGTCGCATGATCTTTCACCATCATGAAGTCTCATGTCAGGGTGAAGCCACAGTATGATGTTTCTTAAATACAATTAATGCTTTCCTGGCCTCAGAAGACTTTATAAGCCGCACAACAAGGGTATTATAAAATGCTGTTACTAAGGGCAGTATTTTCTCAAAAAGGTTGACATCCTGGCAGTAATGGTAAAACAAAATGGCAGTGTGCACAGCTGGCCAGTAGGATTGCCCTCTTACTTTCACTGGAGTGGTTCTTTGGTAAGCCGCCCCAACCCCCACCCCCCAACCATACCCCCTCCCAGAGCTGCCAGCCTCATCAGAATGCCATCAGCTCAGCAGTGTCACCAGGAACAGTAGCTACTTCTGACGAAGGCAAGTGCCCAGTACTTTACACCAGATAAGCCAATAAGGTCTTTCCTAAATTCACATAGAAATTACATGAACGGAGAGAAGTCCTCTCCAAGCTCATTGTCCTGTACAGAGCCCACTCCTTGAATTAAAAAAATGCCTTCCCATACCAACCCCAGTTGCAGCTGCCTGCTTTTAAATGGAAACATCCCCATCTGGCGCTGAGTTGCTGGAAAAATTGTCCTGCGGGATATTTGAACATCTAGGTTTGCATTCCTCCTCCTTGTGATAGCAAATCATTTCAAATTGGCTTATCCCACCACAGGTGAAATTCCTTGGCAATGCAGGGCATAATTACCTATCCATTCTGGCACAGATCATGTCCCTGCCCCATTTTACTGCACCTCAAATCTCTTACTCTTGGTGTATTCTGGCTTCTGTTTGTCTAGCAATATTCTGCCCTGAATGAAAATTCAAAGGCAAGAAAGTAAGAGTTAATACTAGTAAAGTCTTGAACTTACTTGAAAGCATTTAATTGCATTTATTGTATTAATAGTCGATCTGTCACATAATGTGAATTCATTTTTGTGGGATCTGGGCATTGCAGGTTGGCCAGCATTTCTTGCCCATCCGTAGTTGCCCTTGAGAAGTTGGTGGTGAGCTGGCTTCTTGAACTGCTGCAGTCCACCTGCTTTGGGTTGACCCACAATGTCCTTATGGAGAGAATTCCAGGATTTTGACCAAGTGACAGTGAAGGGTCAGTGATATATTTCCAAGTCAGAATGGTGAGTGGCTTAGTGGGGAATTTGAAAGTGATAGTGTTCCCATGTATCTGCTGCCTTTGTCCTTCTAGATGGAAGTGGTTATGAGTTTGGAAGGTGCTGTGTGAGGATCTTTGGTGAATTTCTGCAGTGCATCTTGTAGATAATACACACTGCTGCGACTGAGTGTCGGTGGTGGAAGGAGTGGATGTTTGTGGATGTAGTGCCAGTCAAGTGGGTTACTTTGTCCTGGATGGTGTCAAGCTTCTTGAGTGTTGATGGAGCTGCACTCATCCAGGCAAGTGGGGAGTATTTTATCACACTACTGACTTGTGCCTTGTAGATGGTGGGCAGGCTTTGAGGAGTCAGGAGGTGAGTTACTTGCTGCAGTATTCCTAGTCTCTGGCCTGCTCTTGCAGCCACTGTGTTTATATAGCGAGTCCAAGTGAGTTTTGGGTCAATGGTAACCCCTAGGATGTTGACAGTGGGTGATTCAGTGATGGTAACACCATTGAATGTCAAGGGGCGGTGGTTAGATTGTCTCTTATTGGTGATGCTCATAGCCTGGCATTTGTGTGGTGCAAATGTTACTTGCCACTTATCAGTTCAATATTGTCCAGATCTTGTTTCATTTGAACATGGACTGCTTCAGTACCTGAGGAGTCACGAATGGTGCTGAATATTGTGCAATCAGCGGCGAACATCCCCACTTCTAACATTATAATGGAGGGAAGGTCATTAGTGAAGCAGCTGAAGATGGTTGGGCCTAGGACACTACCCTGAGGAACTCCTGCAGAGATGTGCTGCAGCTGAGATGACTGATGTCCAACAACCATGACCATCTTCCTACGTGCCAGGTATGACTCCATCCATTGGAAAGTCTGCCCTTGATACCCATTGTTTCCAGTTTTGCTAGGGCTTCTTGAAGTCATGCTTAGTGAATTCAGCCTTGATGTCAAGGGCTGTCACTCTCACCTCAGCTCTGGAATTCTGCTCTTTTGTCCAAGTTTGAACCAAGGCTGTGATGAGGTCAGGAGCGGAGTGACCCTGGTGGAACCCAAACAGGGCATCACTGAGCAGGTTATTTCTGAGCAGGTCCTGCTTGATAGCACTGTTGATGACATCTTCCATCATTTTACTGATGATCGACAGTAGACTGATGGGGTGGTAATTGGCTGGGTTGGATTTGTCCTGCTTTTTATGTATAGGACATACCTGGGCAATTTTCCACATTGTCGTGGAAATGCCAGTGTTGTAACTGTTCTGGAAGAACTAGGCTAAATGAGTGGAAAGTTTTGGAGCACAAGTCTTCAGTACTATTGCCAGAATGTTGTCAGGGCCCTTAGCCTTTGCAGTATCTATTGCCTCCAACTGTTTCTTGATATCACGTGGAGTGAATCGAATTGACTGAAGACTGGTATCTGTAATGTTGGGGACCACTGGAGGAGGCTGAAATGTCACTTTTGGCTGAAGATTGATGTGAATGCTTCAGCCTTATCTTTTGCACTGATGTACTGAACTCTTCCATCATTGAAGATGGGGATATTTGTGGAGTCGCCTCCTCCAGTGAATTGTTTAATTGTCCACCACCATTCACGACTGGATGTGGCAGGACTGCGGAGCTTAGATCTGATCCATTGGTTGTGGGATCGCTTAGCTCTGTCTATCACTTGCTGCTTTCGGTGTTTAGCATGTAAATAGTCCTGTTTGGTGTCTTCACCAGGTTGACACCTCATCTTCAGGTATGTCTGGTGCTGCTCCTGGCATGCCCTCCTGAACCACAGTTGATCCCCTGGCTCCATGGTAATGGTTGAGTGGGTGATATGCCAGGCCATGAGGTTACAGATTGTGCTGGAGTACAATTCTGCTGCTGTTGATGGCCCACAGCGCCTCGTGGATGCCCAGTCTTGAGTTGCTAGATCTGTTCAAAGTCTGTCCCATTTAGCACAGAGATAGTGCCACACAACACGGTAGAGGTTATTCTTAGTGTGAAGGCAGGACTTCGCCTCCAGAAGAACGGTGTGATGGTCACTCTTATCAATATGGTCATGGACAGATAGATCTGCAACTGGCAGATTGGTAAGGATGAGGTCAAATATATTTTTTCTTCCAGTAGGTTCCCTCACCACCTGCTGCAGACCCAGTCCAGCAGCTGTGTCCTTTAGGGCCCGACCAGCTCGATCAGTAGTACTGCTGCCGAGCCACTCTTGGTGGTGGACATTGAAATCCCCCACTCAGAGTACACTTTGTGTCCTTTCCATCCTCCATGCTTCCTCCACGTGTTCTTCAACATGGAGGAGTATTGATTCATCAGCCGAGGGAGGACGGTATGTGGTAATCAGCAGGAGGTTTCCTCGTCCATGTTTAACCTGAAGCCATGAGACTTCATAGGGTCCAGAGTCAATGTTGAGGACTCCCAGGGCAACTCCCTTCCAACTGTTTACTACTGTGCCACCATTTCTGCTGGGTCTGTCCTGCCGGTGGGACAGGATATATCCAGGGATGGAGATGGTGTGTCTGGACTGCCTGTGAGGTATGATTCCGTATCACTACACCAGGCTGTTTCTTGACTAGTCTGTCAGACAGCTCTCCCAATTTTGGCACTAGCCCCCAGATGTTAGTGAGGAGGACTTTGCAGGGTCGACAGGGTTGTTTCTGCTGTAGTCTTTTTCGGTGTCTAGGTCAAGGCCAGGTGATCAGTCTGGTTTCATTTCTTTGAGACATTGTAGTAATTAATACAACTGAGTGGCTTGCTTGGCCATTTCGGAGGGCAGTTGAGAGTCAACCACATTGTTTTGGGTCTGGATTCACATGTAGGCCAGGCCAGGCCAGGTAAGGATGACAGATTTCCTCCCCTGAAGGACATTAGTGAACCAGATTGATTTTTCCGACAATTAACAGTAGATTGCTAATTCCAGATTTTTTTCAAAGTTAATTTAAATTCCACCATTTGCTGCGGTGGGATTCAAACTCAGGTCCCCAGAACATTAGGTGAGTTTCTGGATTAATAGCCTAGCAATAATACCACTAAGCCATTGCCTCCCCTTTACAAGTAGTAGAAGTGTTATCAACTTAGTGTTGTGACAAGTGTTACAAGAAGTGTACATGTAGATCATTCAATCCCTAAGCCTGTTCTGACACTCAGAGCTGATCTGCTTCTTAATTCCATTTATGTTCTTGGTGACACATCCCATGCTACATTTACCTAACAAAAGGCTGTGAATAGAGTATGGCTGATATATTCTACAATTGGCCCACAACCTCATTTGCTGCTACACTTATTACAATGGGTAGTATTTGCAACCAATTTCAAGCTGATGTGTGACATGCTTTGCAGTAAAACATTACATTCAAAATCTAAATAAAACATGCCTGAAAACTTAAATTAAAATCAGACTGTTCGAGCTTGCGATCAGTTGGATTTCAATGAGTAAAGATCATTTAAGCACTCCCAGTGAAAATCTTTATCACACTTCTCACCTGAAGCGTTAACCACCTTTTCTCTTCCAAATGCTGAATGATCTGTATTATTCTGCATTCAGTACTAGTGACATGATGTTACGATCCAGTATATCTTGTGGATTACGAATCGTTGATTACCAGGAAATAAGACGAGGAAGATGACAGAAAACTCAAAACAATCTGCTGTTACTCATTGAATTCTGCAGGTGTATGATGAATGCAGTGAGCAGACAATGGACAGCAAGGAGGTGGACGAATCATTGAGACCCAAGATGTCAGAAGTGGCAACCCAGCTTCAGCATGTCACATGCCGACAGAGGAAAGATCATACAATGAAGAACGGAATAGATCATGCCTGCAGTGAACAGGTTACTGAAACAGGTACTTCATGAATAATTTTCAAATGTACGTTATTATTCTTTTTCTATTACTTTTATTTGTAATTGAGTTTGAAATCATGAAGTTGTAGCGAAGATGCTCATGTCACTGGCTCCTGACCAGCACAACATGACTAACTAAATCTCCAATCAACATGGTTTTGAGCAAGGGAAATCATGTTTAACTCATTTATTCAAGTTCTTTGAGGAAGTCATAACGGAAGTGGCTAAAGCAAAATCTGTAGATGTGGTAAACTTGGATTTCCAATTTAGCAAGGTGCAACAGGAACATTACACAAAAGACAAGCGCTCATAGTGTCAGGATTACATATCAGCATGGATAAAGAATTAGCAAGCTAACAGGAGGCAGAAAGTGAGACAATTTTTGTTCACCTTGGCAATATGTAAAATAGAGTGCCACAGGAACTATTGTGGGGGCCTCCATTATTTGTGGACTATATTAATTAGGATAAAAGAGTCAACTATATGTTAGCTGATTGTGTGGATGACATCAAGATATATAGGAAAATTAGTCATCAAAGGGGATAAAGAAACGGATATAGATAAGTTAGCAGAGTGGGAAAATAATTGACAGATGTGGGAAAATGTGAACCTGTCTATGAAAGAAGGAAGATTAGAAGAGCAGTATGTAATATAGCTGGAGAAATATTCAAGAACTTGAAGGTGTAGCGGGATTTAGGTTCCCCCGTACATAAATTATACTATGTAGTTGCACCAACTGACTAGAAAGGCAATTAGAGTGTTGGCACTTAATACAAATGGAATAGAAACTGTACAGTTTTGATCTCATTATTTGGAAGAGATATAAATGCATTAGAAGCAGTTCAGAGAGGATTTCTTCAACTCATTCAGCGATGAAGAGCTTATTTTATGAAGAAGTGGTGAAAGGTTAGGCATATAACCTGTTGGAGCCTAGTTTAGAATGAGAGAGCTCTTATTAAAACATAGAAGATCTTAAGGGAAGTGGAAAGGGTGGACACCTGGAGGACATTTTCTCTTGTGTGGGAGATTAAAATGAAGGGATATAGTTTAAGATTAAGAGCTTTCCCCTTTGAGACAAAGAGAGAGAAAATATTTTTCTCTTGGACTATCATTGGTCTGTGGAATTCTCTTCCCTACCTAGAAAGCAGAGAGGACTGCATCATTGAATTTATTTAGGCTTGAGGTAGATAGATTCTTAATTGACGAGGTAGTCAAGATTTATAGGTGAGGGGTGTGGGGCACAGAGAGGAAAGAGGAGATGACACCATAACCAGATCACCCATGATCTTAATGAATGGTGAAGCAGATTTGAGGGGTCAGAGTAGAAACTAGAATGAGGTCAGCCAGGTGGATCTCATAGAATATGAGTTCTCTGATTGGGGTTGTTAATCTGGTCCAATCAACGAGTCTTGGCTGGCAGATATAAACAGGAGTATCAGGGGTTCAATTCACTCTCGGAGCTGGCTCTGAGCTAGCTGGGTCAATGTCATCTAGTATGCACGTGTAAATAAAGGGTGACTTGGTGACAGGATACTGGCCTTCGTGGAGTTATTTCAGTTGCGACAAGAGCGGGATGCGGAGAGACCATTTGCTATGTGGGATTAATGATGTGACTGTGCAAAACCGCCTACTAGCTGAAGCCCAACTAGACTTCAAACAGGCACTATAACTGGGCTTGTCATTAGAAAATGTGAATGCCTTGAGCCACCTCCCATTGGCAGATACACCACCGGTGGTGCCATCACTAGAACAGTCCATTTTGGTTTTAAACATTCTGGACACCCAGTCACCGCTGGCAATACCCGACTGTAGATGCAAAATAATCTGGTCCTGGCAAAACTAAAACAGCTGGTGTTGGGGGTGGGGTGGGGAACAAAAGGGCCATCACAACCAGAATTGAAACCTTCATCAGACCAGATCACCGTAGAGGGCAGCATATTATTATGGGGAGCAAGAGTGATTGTCCTGAGCAAAGGTCAATGCCAGACACCAGCTGAATTCTAACAGAGTCATCCAGAGGTTTTCAAAATGAAGATGTTGGAAAGATATTATGTCTGGTGGCCAGGTTTGGATGCCAACATAGCCGCATTGGTAAGGCAGTGACCAGAGTGCCAATAAGGACAAAAATTACCGCCAGAAGCTTCCCTGCATTCGTGGGAATGACCAGGTGAACCCTGGACTCAGTTACATGTCGACTGTGCCAGTCCTTTCATGGGCTCGATGTTTTTGGTCATTGTGGATGCCCCTTCAAAATGTTGGATGTGCATAGAGTTTATTTGTCAAACATGAGGACGATGATTGAAAAGCTTTTTCTTTGCATATTTTGCAATACACAGACTCACGGAGGTGTTGGCCACAGACAAGGGGCTATCATTTACTTACTAGCAGGGAATTCGAGTGTTTCCTAACGTTGAATGGCATTTGACCTGTAAGGGTAGCTCCATGCCATCCATCATCCAATGGTCTGGCAGAAAGAGCGTCCAAACTTTGAAGTCAAGCTTAAAGAAACAGCCTACAGCTTTACTTGATACTAAACTGTCCCGGTTCTTGTTTGATTACAGGACCATGCCTCATGCAATTATAGGGACAGCTCCAGCAGAGCTGGGGAGAGGACTCCGCACCAGGTTAAACCTGATCTTCCTGGACTGGGGTGGGGGGGAGGGCAAAATGGAATACTATTGCCGGACACAAGACAAGCAAGGGAGGCAGTTTACGTCAGGGGACAATGTTTGGTGTCCAAACCATGGAACGGCCCTGCGTAGATAACGGGCGTAATCCACACGAAGTCAGGTCGGTGATGTGCAAAGTTCAGGGAGGAGAGGCACTCCCGAACAAGCACGTGGACCACATGAAATCTGCAACCTCACAAACGGAGCAGGAGCAAAACATACCCGGCCCCTCAGAACATCTGATGAGCTGTCAGAGCCAGTGGGTTCTTCCCCTCCACCTAGCAATGAAGAAACCTCTGAGGACGAGATGGACGCAGCAGATGTTGCAGACTCAATGCCATTATCACCTGAAGAAGAAGGTGAACTTCAGCTGAGGCACTCTGGGTACAAGAAGCAGACTAAGATCTGGTGCAAGCTGCCAGTATCCAACACAGAGTTGGAGGAACTGGACCTGGTGTGAAAACGCCCCAGGAGAAGCTTCAGGATAAAGAATGGGCTTACGTTTGAGGACTTAGAGGGAGAGGGATGTACTGATTGCTATGAGGTCAGCCAGGTGAATCTCATAAAATATGAATTCCCTGACTGGGGCTCTTGACCTGGGCCAATCGGGCAGCCATGGCTGACAGTTATAAACAGGAGTGTCAGACGTCTGTTCACTCTAGAAGCTGGCTCTGAGCTAGTTGGATCAGTGTCATGTACTATGCATGTGTAAATAAAGGGTGACTTGGTGATGGGATACTGGCCTTCATGGAGTTATTTCAGGCTGAATGACCTATGTTACTATGGAAGTAATTTTGTTGAAATTTGCTTAGTCATTGACAGGTGAGGCCTTATATAATATTAGTGTAATCCAAAGCCAACTTTTGACCAACACCATTCTGTTTATTGCTCAAAAATCTGTCTTTCTGGAAGGTCTAAATTAATAGTCTGGAAACCAAGACACAAAAAGGGAAGAGAGAATGTCTGCTGTGCCAATGGCTGAACTAGTTATAGAGTCATACACATGGAAACAGACCCTTCAGCCCAACCAGTCCATGCTGACCATGTTCCCAAACTAAACCAGTCGCACCTGTAACTGTACCTTCATCCATCACTTTCTCTGGTAGTTCTACATAATACATTTTACATTGTACATACAAACCACTTCTTGTGTAAAAAACTGCCCCTCGTGTTTTTTAAGTCTTTCTCCTCTCACCTGAAAAATATGTCCCCATTTATTCATGCCTGATCTTGCCCAGGCTAGACTGTGCTCTGCTACAATGGCGTATTGAATATATGTTAAAATTTGATAGTGTCTCAGGTTGTTTGTGAAGGAGACAGCAACCCATCCTATGAGATCTCAGTAATGTATGCACTGATTCATTAACTCACTATTTGATTTTTGTTGAACTGTTACGTTTGGACTCAGAGTATGATCCAGTTTTACATTGTGCTTACAGCTGAATATATTCCAAATCCAGGCTGCACTCCTGATCACACCCTTGAGCTTACTGTAGGGTACCCAGAACACTTTAGAGTTTGATAATATTGCCTCAGGCTGCTTGCCATATCTCAAAATAGAGAGCATTCTGATGTTTACTTTGGCCTTAGCAAATTGCTTGTTGATGCCTGTCTGTTGAAGAGTCATCGAGTCCATGTAAAGTCTTCCAGAAAGCATAGCATTTTGTAAAAGGCTTCACAAGAAAAGACCAAATAAATCATATTAAAAACTTACCATCAAGTTGACCTTGCATCGACCATCCCTCTTACCCATGCAAAGCCATTCCTGTGGTTTTGACGCCAAACTTTGTCCCCTGAAGTAAACTGCCTCTCTCGCTTAGAGGAGACTTGTGTCCAGTATTGGTGTTCCTGATGTCATTTCATCCTCCCCCGACATCTGGGAAGATCAGGTTTAACCTGGTGCGGAGTCTTCTCCCTATTAGCAATTCTCCTGGAGCTGTCCCTGTAGTTGTATGAGGAGTGGTCCTATAATGTCACCTACTATCGAGCACCAGACATCTTTAATGTATTTTTTCACATTGGTCATTTATCCTACCATCTGTTTGTGTTCTGTTCAAGTCAATCACTTGTTATTGATTCAACTGTAAATTTTTACAGATGGTGAAGAGCAAACATATTAACCTAGTTCACTTTTATTCATTTTAATTAGGTGTCCATATACTCAGCTCCTCTTGTTACTACTTTTACACGATCTAAAAGTGCTGAATAGATCATTCTCTCAATCCTACATCAGGACCTAAAAGGAATGTTGTATCCCATTTGGTTATCAGTAGGTACTTTATTCTGATTAGTTAGATTGTTAAATATGTTGCGATCATCAAAATACATTGTT